CATCGATGCCTGCGCGAGTCCGCTTCCAGTAAAGATCAAGGAGCCGAGAGACCTAATACACTCTTAGCAACGAGCCCACTTCCAGTAAAGACCGAGAGACCTAATACACTCCCCCGGTGCCAAGATACCGAAATACCCAGTACTTTCTTACTAGCAAACCCTAACTCTTTGACTGTTATAAGGAAGGTACATAACAGGTACATACTGAATCCTCCTCCGAAATCAGTAGACCTTATACAGGTGTAATTCAAAGAGTTTAAAAAAGACGTGCCCTTCGGATTTATTAGGAATCACAGCACTTAGCAATGCCGAGATCATCGATGCCTGCGCGAGTCCGCTTCCAGTAAAGACCAAGAGACCGAGAGACCGAGAGACCTCTTAGTAACGAGCCCGCTTCCAGTAAAGACCGAGAGACCAAGAGACCTAAAAAAAGAAAAAAATAAATGATCTTTGTATATCTTTATTTATATCCATGATTACTAATCTACATCGCGTCGTAATAAACTACCCTGACACGCATATGACGTGTTAGAGATCACATGACCAAAAATGTGATTGGTCAAAAATCAAAACCGATAATTGGACAGGACAGAACAAAAGCCATAATAATAATTTACCGAATATCAAATAGGATGATGCGAATGTGGTTACTCAAGATTTTGGGTCAGAAACCGCACACCTTAAATTATAATAAGGAATAAGGTAGTGATAATAGGACAGTGTGGGTGTGGTTTATAGTATAGTAATGGTGTTAGATGGGTGTGATCTCTTACGATCTTAGATTGTTATAAGTATATGACACCTAAATAATATCGGACATTGATGATGATATGACGGTGCAGATCAAGACTTTACACCGTCTTCCAAAAAGAACGCAAGACCTGATCGGCGATCTTTAAATGTTAAAATTTTAAGTAGGATAAATCACATTATGATGAAATTTATACTATAGATAGAATATAAGTATGTTTAAATAATATATAAATTAAAATAGATATTAAATTAATAAAAAAATTTTTTATAATGACCTATGGATCTATAGCACAGTGGTAATGCTCCATAGGTCACCAGGAGAAGGTCTAGGGTTCAACTCCGCCTGGTTACAAAAATTTATCACCTTCATGATTGGTTAACCGGCTTCCAATTCATGTCGTACCCAATCAGCCGACAAAAAATCTATCTCCAAATCTAGTTAGGCTGTATGAAGATGGGACCTCTGGTCTTCTTGATGATTGCGGGCTGAAAACAGGTCGAAGCAAGGAAGGTTGCACGAGGAAAGGCTTCTGGTCTAACTCCGGTAATAAGCCCACA